GATAAGACTTATACATTGAAAACTGTAAAATATTGCTGAAAGAAAGTAAGACAAACAGCTGGAACTACTTCCCATATTCATGGATTAGAAAATTTAGTATTGTTAAGACGTCAGTGCTACCCAGAGAGATCTACATATTCAATGAAATTCTGTCAAAATCCTAAAGGTGTTTCTTGCAGAAATAGAAAAATCTTTCCAAAAATTCATGTGGAATCTCAAGAGAGCCCCAAACAGCCAAAGCAGTCTTGAGAAAGAACAAAAGTTGGAGGACTCACACTTCCTACTTTTAAGACTTACCACAAGGCAACAGTAATCAAGGCAGTGTATTACTGACATAAAGGTAGAAATAAACACCAATAGAAGAGAATTGAGAATTCAGAAATAAACCTTTGCATTTAAGGTCAGTTGATTTTTTTGGGGTCCAAGACAATTTAATAGGAAAAGAGCAATCTTTTAAACAAATGATGCTTGGGCAACTGGATATTCACATTAAAAGAATGAAGTAGGAATCTTACCTAACACTATATGCAAAAATTAATTCAAAATGTCTGAGAGAATTAAAGGTAAGATATAAAACTGTAAACCTTTTTTTGAAGAAAAAGAGGGCAAAAACCTCACAGCATTGTATCTGGCAGTGATTTCTTGGATATGACACCAAAAGTATAGGCAACAAAAGAAAAATAGACAAATTAGACTTCATGAATATTAAAAACTTACGTGTATCAAAGGACGTCTGTCAACAGAGAGAAAAGGCAGCCTATGAAATGGAAGAATTTTGAAGTGATATATCTGATTAGAGATTAAAATCTCAAATATATATAGAACTCTTAAAACTCAACCTCAAGAAAACCTAAAAAACTCCATTTGACTTTAATTAGTTGAATAGACATTTCTGCAAAGAATATATATGAATGATAAGTAAGCACATGAAAAGATGTTTAACATCACTAATTATTAGGGGAATACAAACCAAAACCATAGTGAGATAACTGCCTTACAGCCATTAGGGTGACTGTTACTAAAACAACTAGAAAAAATATGTCAGGAGGATGTGGAGAAATTAGCACTCTTTGTGCTGTTCATAGGAATATAAAATAAGAATTTGATAGTAGCACAAAAGATTAAAAATTGAATTACATTATGATTCAGCAGTTCTGCTTTTGAGTATATAGCCCAAAGACTGGAAAGGAAGTCTTGAGGAGATATTTGTTCACCTGTGTTCATAGCAGTATTATTCGTAATAGCTAAAGCATGAAAGCAGCCCAAGTATCCATTGACAGAAGAATGGATGAGCAAAATGTGGTATGTGCTTATAATGGTGTATCATTAAATTTAAAAAGAAAGGAAATTCTGACCCTATAAGATGTGGATGATCCTTGAGGCCATTATTCTAAGTGAAGTGAGCCAATTACAAAAAGACAAATACTGTATGGTTCCACTAAGAAGTATATATAGCAGTCAAAATCATGGGGACAGAAAGTAGAATGTATGGTGGTTTCCAGAGACTAGGGTAGGAAGGAAGAATAGGGTATAGAGTTTCAGTTTTTTCAGTTTTTAATGGGTATAGAGTTTCACTTTTTGCAAGATGAAAAGAGTTCTGGAGATGGATGGTGGTGATGGTTGTACAATGATATGAATGTTCTTAATATCACTGAATCGTACATTAAAAATGGTTAAGATGGTAAATTTTATGGATGTTTTGCTGCAATAAAAATATTAAAAAATCTTAATGGTTATTTAATCAACACCCATTTTTATTCTTACTAGTTAATAGGCACTGTGCTAGCTCCTGGAAATAAAGATGACTAACATACAGTCATAGTCCCCAAGAAGCTCACAGCCAAGTAAAAAAGACTTCAGAACAAATAATTATGCTATAGTGTGAGAAATGGTATAACAGAAATAAATTTTGTGAGAGTCAGGGGAAATTTCACAGGCGAAGTGATGCCTGAGCTGAATTTTATAAGATACCTAGTTTCCAGTCCAAGAGGGCAACGAAGAGCATTCCAGGTCTAGGGAGTAGTAGCGTATGAAAATACACAGGATCCCATAAGTTGGTAAGTTGGAGCCTGCTATCTGAGGGAACTGTGGCAGCAGGCGAGGCTGGAATGGTTCACAGAGATAGGGCTCAACAGGCATTTGTTTTGTACATAGTAGAGAGACATTGAAGAGGTTTAAACATAAAATTGGTGTTTTTACAGAGAGAATTCTGACTTTGGTGTGAAGAATAGAGTGGGATAAGAAAGTGGAGGGAGGTTGAGTTGTAGTAATTGTCCAGGTAGTCAGAATGATGGCCTGAATGAGTTTGTGGTACAGATGGAGAAGAGAGAATGGATTTGAGCATAAATTGAGAAGTAAAAGCTGCAGAGTTTGATTATTGCATATAGAGACTCACAGAGAGGAAGCAGTTGACTGTGACTTACAGATACTGATTTTGTTGACCATATGGGCTGTAGTTCTGTCGGCTAAGATTGGCAATACTAAACAAGAGCAGGTTTTGGAAATTGAGAGGAGAGAGAATAGGGCAAGAGAGTAGAAACAAACAAGATCAGTTTTAGATTTAATTTGAGGCCCCTTTACAGATTCTTTGAGATAGTCTTGTAGAGGTCAGCTGTAACCTTGTTTCTTAAAATTCTCTTTGGTACTAGTAATAGGGACAGGCAAATGAGCTGTGTTTTAGGTTTATTTGGAGTACTTAAGATGAATTCAGAAGAAAGCAATATAACTTAAAAGCTAAGGTCTTATTTATAACTGCAGTTTTCTAATTTAGAAGAGAAACGTGGAAGTAAATTAATTTTGTATTTAATTGTAATTTTCTAATATGCATGTGTGCTTTTCATAATTTAAAAATTGTTTTTTTTCCTTTTGACATATATCAGAGTTTGTAATTCTTTGGTGTTTGTTTTTATGTAAATTATTGACAGAACCTGCATTAAGTTGTTTCAGTAGTGGTTTTCTAACAACCATAAATGTATGGTGTACTTCATAAATAGTTCCTGTTTTTATTCAGTGTTAGTGGCCTGATGTTCACTTTTTTAACAGAAGGTGAATTATAAAATAGGGTTAAAAACTGTAACAGAAAAAAACGAAAGACTGGAAGTTGGGAATATCTTAACTCTAAGATTCTGAATTCTATGTTACTAGAGAGATTAATTTGTATATATGTCTTATTAAAAAACTTTTTTTTTTTTGTAAAACACTTGTTTTTCTGTCATGTTTAAATGTAATGCCTCTCAGAGGCACAAGAGTTGAGAGAGAGTGCCAAAACCTAAGGCAAGACCACCAAACACAAGACCACCAGGGAAAAGGTACAAGAGTTGAATCTTAGATATTTCATGTGGTTGTTTGCCAGTTCCTCTCTCAAAATTGATAATAAAAACTGATTCAGCTGGAAATGTAGTAAGGTAGTAATATCCCTGAATTGTAGTTCCCTACCTTTTCAATAAATGATTGTCAAACTGTTGTAGATTCCTGCATGAATGCTTTTACATTTAATCTGTTTGAGAAAATATGACCAAAAACTACTTTGAATTCTGTGATTGTTTTTAATGAACTATTTAAGTGCATTTAATCACAATAGTGTTTATCTGTGTTATCTTTGAAAAGTAATTTAGCTAATCCTGGGTGCCATATGGATTGTCAAACCCCTTGCAAAACTAGGGAGCCCACCAGGGGCTGGCACAGTGGTGTTGAGAACCAGAAACCACTGCTTTTGATGGAGTAAGTCTTAGAGTACCAGTAACAGGGACAGACAAATGGTTTTGGTGGGTATCAGAATTTGTGATGCAGTATTCAAATAAATGCGGTACCCTTATACCTAATACCCTTTTCCATCGCTTCTGGCAAGGCAGTGAGACTTCTTTTCATACTCTTTGGTATAAACTATGTATACTACCTTCATAGCACAGTGCAGGCATTTTTTTCCCCCTTTATAAAGTACTTCAAAAAATGTAAGCAATTGAGTCTTCTCATTTCTTCAGAGATAGGCCTGTTACAGGAGGTGAGGAAAATTTGAGTCTTCTGAAATAGTTTTAGAATTTTTGATACATGGAATTTTGATAGTTTGTGTTTCATTTTCATCTTTTAATGGTGTTATTTAATATATTTTTTCTGTTCTTGAATATACGGAAAAGTGCATGCTCATCACTTAGAAATAACCAGTGTTAAAGTGTTGATAAGTTGCTGCCCATTAAAGCCAATCGAGATCACATTGTTTGGCATTTTTTTTTTTTCAGTCACACAACTCATCTTAGTGTGCTTTCTATGTACAAGGCTGCAGTGAGCTATGACTGTGCCACTGCATTCCAGCCTGGGTGACAGAACAGGACCCTGATTCTTTAAAAAAAAAAAAAAAAAAAAAAGTCTTTGTAAAAATGTTTAAATGGCAAAAAAAGTTGGCTTAGCATCATGGCTGATAAATGAGGAGTGCTGAAAGATTGATAATATAACTTTGTTTGATATATATGTATATAATATGTATATGATATCTTGATCTAAGTTTATCATTTATCTTTGGGAGGTAACCACTACTCAAGTCGGTTTCTAGGTTAAAAAATTTTTTTTTATAGAGTCAGGGTCTCACTCTGTTGCCCCGGTCAGAGTGCAGTGGTGCAATCATAGCTCACTGTAACTTCAAACTCCTGGGCTCAAGTGATCCTCTTGCATCAGCCTCCCAGGTAGCTAGGACTACACGTGGATGCCACTATATCTGACTGTCTTTACAAAACTAGAACTTGCTATGTTGCCCAGATTGGTCTTGTTGAAAATCTTATTCAAATGTACAATTTACTTGGCCTCCAGTCATCCTTCTGCCTCGTCCTCTAAAAGTCCTGGGATTACAGGCATGAGCCACTGTGCCTGGCCAAGTTCTAGTTATTTTGTTGGTTCCATCCTATGTTTCCTTTTCTCAAATTAATCTGCTTCTTGGTGTATTATTACAGCTTCAAGTTTTTTTTCTTTCTAAAATATTCACTAATTGAGATTTCAATGCTAATGTTTAGGATAAAGACGGTGATAGAGCCGTTCACCATGCAGCTTTTGGAGATGAAGGTGCTGTTATAGAAGTGCTACACCGAGGCAGTGCTGATTTGAATGCTCGAAACAAGCGCCGACAGACCCCTCTTCATATTGCTGTCAATAAAGGTCATCTTCAAGTTGTGAAGACTTTATTGGACTTTGGCTGTCATCCCAGTCTTCAGGTAAATCCTTTAAAGAAATATATCCTGCAGGTATTGGTAGGATCCTATTAAAGGGAAACATTAAGTTCTATGGTAAGCATTCCTTTGTTATCATTCTCGTATGGTCATAAATGATACCAAAGGCATAAGATGTTACAAAATTGGCAGCTATTTTTTTTGTGTGTGTGGCTCTGTCCCTCAGCTATTTTGTTTGTTTGTTTTGTTTTTTTTTGCTTTAGAAAAATCAATAGATTGGGTTTAGATTGGGCAGTGAGAATGGGGACGTCCTTGTAAAAATATCAGCTTATGAATGGATTCAACTTTATTGATCATGACAGTGAGCCTCAACAGTTCATATTTCATAATAGTTACTTCATAACTACTTAAATTATTTTAATTGTAGCTTTTATTGTAGCTTAGGGACTTTGAATAGTCATTAGTGTAGTCTTCGGAGATTTTCTGATTTGGAAAATGTATAGGATTTTAGAGTTGATTTACAGTAGGACCTAATTTTTGAAGCAGTGGTTCCTAAGAATTGATTATCCCAGCTACAGTTTTATAACCAGATTAAACCATAGATATATGGAAAATGTAGTCTGTGTTCATTATCTGCTTAGTTTGGTTACTAAGCAACTTGTCTTTTGTGTACCTCTCTGATTAAAGTTTCTATACTTAGTAATTTTGTAGCAAAATAAAACAGGACCTGAAACTAATTTGCCAACATTTAGGTTCCTTAACAGAATAGGCTTGAAACAACATAATATTTTTAAATAAAAATATTCCCTGAAACACTATTTGTATATGTAAAACATAATTTGTTTCAATTGGAAACTCAATAATGACTTTTTAAAAAGTGGGACGGTGGTTAGAATCATAAGCTGCTTGCAGTTTAGATAATTTACAGCATCCAGGAATTGGTTGCTGGTTTGGCTAGATCTCAGGGAAGTAATAAAGAAGAACAGTAGTAGTGGGAATGAAGGCTTGAGAAGAACTGAAAGAATAGATTTTGTTCAGCTAGATAATTACTAGAAACTAAGCTTTCTGAAGTGCAGCTGGTTTGGAACTGATGGGATCTGGGGTATGTCCTTGTAAGTGGGAGGCAGGATTGGAGGATGAGGGAAGAATTGGGGGGTTTTAATCGGTAAGGAGGGGCAATTTATACCTGTTGACCTTTTTTGTCTGAAATGGGAGACAAGGTCATCTGTTGAGAGTGTGAGTGTGGGATGTAGAGAAGGAGTAATTGAAAAGAGTGATAAGGATTTGGGGACCTGCAGGGTATTCCAGTCATATTAGAAGCCCGTTTCAGGTTGAACACTACACATTTTTAGTGTCACCAGATATAGGAGGATAGAAGGTAGATGATTGGATTGAACTTGGGTTAGGAATTCTTTTTTTTCGAGACAGGGTCTTGCTCTGTTGACCAGAGCAAATGGCATGATCATGGCTCATTGTAGTCTCAACTTTCAGGGCCCACCTCAGCCTCCCAAGTTAGCTGGGACTACAGGTGTGAGCCACCGTGCCTGCCTAATTTTTTGTAGAAATGGGGTCTCCCCCTGTCACCCAGGCTGGTCTCAAACTTCTGGGCTCAAGCAATCTTCCTGCTCCTACCTCCCAGAGTCCTGGGATTACAGGTGTGAACTATCATGCCTGGCAGGAATTCTTTATGCTCTTGAATATACAGAAAAGTGCAGACTCATCACTTAGAAATAACTAGTGTTAAAGTGTTGATAAGTTGCTAAATATATTCCTGGGATTAGCAAACATTTTCTGTAATGGACACAGATAATAGTTTAGGCTTTCATTTGTCTTCTACCACAACTATCTAATTCTGTCATTGCAGAATGAAAGCAGCCATAGATAATACATAAATGAGTGGGTGTGGCAGTGTTCCAATATTTTACAAAAACAGGTGGCTTCAACGTGTAATACCCTGGGAGATCATTTTTTCCAGGCTCTGTCCACATGACTTAGGGGAGCATAGGGCTCTGCCCCATGATGTAGTCTCCTTCTACAGCATTGGTGATGAAGCTGGGTCTGGTGGACCTGCATATTCCTGTAGCTTCTCAGAGTCCTGTGGACAATCACTGGGGAGACAAACCATGCAGGAAACATGTCTAGTAAAATGTAATTAAACAAAAAACAAATGGAAAGCTGGATTTGGCAACTGTAATATAGGCTATAGGCTAGGTTATATATGACTTAGAATAGCATCTGTGAAACTATGAAATGAATGAAATCTAAATTATTCATGTATATGCATGACTGCTAATGAATAAAAACTTACTGCTAAGTCAATTGATTAGTGTAAAAAGCAGCTTAAAAAATGGTAGACTGAGATTGCTAAATTTTCATTTACAATTGCTTTACCTTTGGCTAACTAGCCACTTTCCTGCGCTTTGAAAATGCTTAGTTTAATGATTCTCACGTGTGACTACACAATATATTCATCTGGGGAGCTTTGAAGAGTTGCTAATGCCTCGCTCTCACCTCTAGAGATTTAGTATGGTGAAGAGCCTAGACATCAGATTTTTTTCTCTCTCTTTTTTTTTCTGTATAAAAGATTTTAAAAGATCTCCTGAGCAGATTCTAATGAGCACCCAAGGTTGAAAACCACTGACTTTCATTGTTACGGTGTAGATTTGATATGGAATTTCACAGTACAATGATTAAGATCATTTTAAAGTTATTAAATTTGGAGTTCTGCTTTTTCACCTCATTAGTTTTTGTCACTAGTTATATTTGAGGCTCCCTATTCTGTTCTGTTCTATTCTATTCTATTCTATTCTATTCTATTCTATTCTGTTCTATTCTGTTTTTTTCTTTGTAAAGCCTCAGCATGTGCCAGGAGCCGTGGCTGATGCCTACAATCCCAGCACTTTGGGAGGCCGAGGTGGGTGGATCATGAGGTCAGGAGTTCTAGACTAGCCAGGCCAACTTGGTGAAACCCTGGCTCTACTACGAATATGGAAATTAGCCAGGCTTGGTGTTGGGAGCCTGTAATCCCAGCTACTTGGGAGGCTGAGGCAGGAGAATCACTTGAAACTGGAATGGAAGGTGGAGGCTGCAGTGAGCTGAGATCATGCTGCTGCACTCCAGCCTGGGCAAAAGAGCAAAACTCTGTCTCAAAAAAAAAAGAAACTTCTGCATGTTTATTTGTTTATTGTGTTTTCCAACTAGATATGAGTATGACTTTCCTTACTATAATGTGACCAGTGTTTCTTGCTTGTATTTTATTTTTATTTTTATTTTTTTAATTTTTGGAGATAGAGTCTCGCTCTGTCACCCTGGCTGGAGTGCAGTGACACGATCACAGCACACTGCAGCCTTGAACTTCTGGGCTCAAGCCATTCTTCTGCTTCAGCCTTATGAGTAGCTAGGACTATAGGTGCACACCACTACACTTGGCTAATTTAAAAAATTTTTGTAGGGACACGGTCTTGATATGTTGCCTAGGTTGGTGTTGAACTCTTGGCCTCTGGATCCTCCCGCCTCAGCCTCCCAAAGGGCTAGGGTTACGGACATGAGCCAGCATGCCCGGTCTTTGCCTGTATTTTTATATTTATCACAGATAGTGCTCTTTTATTGGTATTTGTTGGATATGGTCTCTGTTTCTGTTTGTTTAGCAATTTGGTATGAGTATTACTGTTACATGAGTTGATTAATTGAAGAACTAATGAAAATCTCTTCAACTTAAAGGATTCTGAAGGTGATACCCCTCTTCATGATGCAATAAGTAAGAAACGTGATGATATCCTAGCAGTTCTTTTGGAAGCTGGAGCAGATGTTACCATCACAAACAATAATGGATTTAATGCTCTACATCATGCTGCCCTAAGGGGAAATCCCAGGTATGTCACACTTTACTATTTTAGGTGCAATTCAAAAATATTTTTCTACTGCTGATTCTCTTTTTCTGATACTAATGAAGAAATATTTTTTGACTATTTTAGTATTTTAAATCATTTTGAAGGTTTGTGAAAATCATGCCTTTATTTAGTATATTAGTTTTATATGATGATTATTTGGTTGTTAATCTAATACAAGTATTATGAAATAACTATTTAAATTTATATTAAATGTGGATATAAAATATCAGAAATACTGGTTTCTTTCTAAAGATTTAATTAAAATGCATTTCATTTTGACATTTATGTTTCTTCAAAATAATTCTCAAGGTGTCCTCTAATCTCATGTTACCATTTGCATGATAATTATTATTTTTTAAACTTAAGACTAAATACGTAATATTAAGTCACCTAACTCCTTATTAATAATGTAATTAGTTATATAAACTTCTAGTGTCGCTATCCCCTCATCCATTGTTACAGCAGTGCTGTACTACTGAAAAATGTATTTGCTGGTTGAAGTTTTCGAAAGACTGCTTTTGGAGAATCACATTCTTTATAAAGGATCTGCAGTGCCCCAGAGAATGTGAAAATGCTTAGAGATTCCCATGAACTCACTTTTTGGAACAACTTTACCTTAAGCATTTTAGGAAATTATGCATTAGATGTCTTCTGTTTATACTTGAGTCAAACTTATATATCTCGACTAAGGAAAATGTTCACTTTGATTTTTATTTTGATAATTTTATCTATTCTGAACACTTATTCTTTGGTTCCTTATTGTATTTTTGTATCATGTTACCTTTTTTTTTTTGGATCTTTTTAAGTTTCTTAGGATCACCACTAGAGGGTGACCACAGAAAACAAAAGGATTTTATTCCTACTGCTTATTGGTAACTGTAACAGTGGGTATATAATGTAGGATAAAGTTAATGACCATATTTTAGATCACATCATGATTTTTTTTCCCCAAATTACAAATATTTGAACTTTTCAGATTTTGGCATTATGAAGGAGACAGTAGTATTATATTTTCCCTGCCCTTCAAACAGAAGATTATGATAGCACTTACCATGTGCCAGTCTCTGCAAAGTGCCTTACATGCATCATCTCACTTAATCCTTTCAACAGCTTTTTGAGGCAGGTGTTAATATCCTCATTTTATAGGTGAAGAATATGAGGCTTATAGAGCTGAATTTAATTATCCAAGAACACATAGCTGATTACTGAAGCACCTGTAACTTGAGCAAGGTCTAGGTGACTTTAGAATCATAACTGTTAAACCACTTTATATCACTTTTACTCTATTGTGGTCTGTTTGTGAAGCAAAACCAAAACACACGGGCAGTGAATGTATCAATACCTCATTCCTCTTGCTACCTCATTGCTTAGGGCTGTCTTTGACTGTTCTCTCACCAATTCTCAACTTCCAACTAGTTTTAAAATTTTATTTTACCAATCTTTCCAACCCATTCCATTTTGTTCCCACTGTTGCTGACCCAAGTAAGTACTCACCACATTTACCTAGACTATTATAATATTCTTCCAATTTTTTTGTTTGATTTCAGTCTTATCCCTGATTTAACTTTTATACAGTTACAAATTATCCATTCTGAAAGCATAGGTCTAAATGACTTTCTTCCCGTTTGCCAACTTCAGTTTTTGTCTATTAACATAGAATACAATCTACGCACTTTGGCTTGGCATTCAGACCCGTATTCTGTGTGTCCTGAGTCTAACTTTATCTCCTGCTAATTAAAATCCCTCAGGCTGCCTTGCTCTTCATCTATTCTCCCTTCCTAAAATATGCTGTCCGCTTTCTTCTTCCATTTTTTGAAGCATTTTCTTTCATTGGGATGCCCCATCCCGCATCTTTCTTCCAGAGCTGCCCCCAATGTCATGATTGGAATTATTTTGTTTGCTCTGTACTTCCTTGTTCTGTGTTCTTATTTATTGTACTTACTATACTCTGCTTAGTGCTGAATTACTATGTGCATTTCTTTCTCTTAAAATCGTGGGCATTCATATTCATCTGTTCATGCCCCACAATGCTCTGACTATACAAGGCATTCAATAAATGTTAGTCTTCCTTTGACAGTGAGGACACTGTTAAATATCACAAGATGTTGTATGATCAGTTGTGGAATGAATTCTGTGGAGAAACTGTGTTAGGAATTCAAGCAGCAATTGCTTCACATTAGAATGGTCAAAAAGATCTTATTGAGGAAATGTAGAATTTATTGAGAGAATGTGAAATCATAAAGTTTAGGATAAACTGAGACTTGAAGTCTTCAGGAAAAAAGTATCTTTTAAATATTTTGAGTTGTTTCATTTTTATTGAGAGTAGGCATATTCTATTCAATAATGTTAAGCCTATACAAGGAAGAGAAAATTTACTTCTGTTTTCTTCAATTCTTGCATCAATCTTGAGGGTTCCCCTGCAAATTTAAAACAGCAACTCTTCCAATCAGATATTTGGTGTCAGGTGACATTTTAAAAAAGAAAAGAATGCTTTTATTCTTCAAAAAAGTAGTGCTTCAGTTAAAGCTACATGACTTCTTTATTCCTACTTCCTTAAGGCATTTTAGGTAGTTGTGACTATAGATTGCCAGATAGAGTGTGATTTTAATTGGACACTGAAGAGTATCAGAAGATGATACACATTATCAGTTGTAATTGCAAATTGTGATGTTTTGAGTTCTTTTTTTCATATCTAATTTCTTTTTCTTACGGTTGATTTTTTCCCCCCTGTACTAACCAGTGATATCAGAAGATAGAAGGAACCATTTTTAGTGTACTTGGAATTAAACACAACAACCAATATTTTTGGCCTTCATATTGTAGAAAACCAGTTGGGTGTGGTGACATACATCTATAATCTCAGCAACTTAGGAGGCTGAGGCAGGAGGATTCCTGCTTGAAGCCAGGAATTTGAGATCAACCTGGGCAATGTAGCAAGACATTGTCTCTGAAAAATTAGGCTTGGCATGGTAGCTCACGCCTATAATCCCAGCACTTTGGGAGGCCGAGGTGGGCAGATCACTTGAGGCCAGGAATTTGAGACCAGCCTGGCCAACAGGGTGAAACCCTGTCTCTACTAAAAATACAAAAATTAGCCGGATGTGGTGGTGTGCACCTGTAGTCCTAGCTCCTCGGGAGGCTGATACATGAGAATTGCTTAAACCCGGGAGGCAGAAATTTCAGTGAGCTGAGATCGTGCCACTGCACTTTAGTCTGGGTGACAGAGCAAGACTCTGTATTAAAAAAAAAAATTAGCTGGGTGTGGTGTCACAGACTTTGACTCTCAGCTACTTGGGAGGCTGAGGCGAGAAGATCACTTGAGCCCAGAAGTTTGAGACTGCAGTGAGCTATGATCATGCCACTGCACTACAGCCTGAGCAACAAAGCAAGACCCTGTCTCTCAAAAAAAGAAAGAAAGAAAAGAAAACCAGATATAGCATATTATTATTTCCAGAACCTGATGAAGTATCTGGATGCCCTATAGTTTGAAGACTGTCCTTTGAAGTCTGTATTTCAAAGGTGCAGATCAATATAGATTCTAGATTTCAAAACTGATCTTGATGTTTCCTCATAGTGTGATAGTAACTGAAATAAACACATTAAGAGAAAAACAGTTATAACGCCATTTGTTGTTGTCTTTTAGAATTGTGGAAGATGTAAATTTTTGCTATAGGACCCTCAGTAAATAGAAATTACACCATGTTTTAATATAGTAATTTTGTTTTTTAAGAAGTCTTAACTAAGAACAATGCTGTTTTTCTATTATAATAGCTAATATTTATAGGCATGTTTCCCCCTAGAGTTTAGCCATATTTATCATCTCTTAGTATACAGGTAAAATTTCAGATTTAAAGCAAGAGCAGAAATTATTTCTGCTGATAAAGGTGAAAACTGAATTTCTTCAGAGTAGCGTAATCAGCATGTTACTTAGGTACTTTCTGTAAAGATGCTGCATTTTTAGCTAAGTTTTTAGAGCTCCCTCACAGGCATGAAAATAAATTAGTCAGCAGTATTCTCTGCAGAGCTGGCAAAAACAATCAATAGGTATTTTGGAAGTACAGGTAACATTAATATAATTATAAAGTTACTTTATATAGTATTATTTACAAATTTTTCTTTAATAGAAATTGAATGTGAAAAGTAAAAGTAAAATATGAGTGAATCACCTGATGTGATATATATTTGTTATGTTTTTAGACTGGTACTAAGATAATTTCACAGGCATTTCTTACTAATTCCCACAAAGACACATATTAAAAATCTTACTGAATATGTGATCAACTCATAGTTTTCCCTCTAGAATGTTATGATGCCCTTTTTACTTTTTAAATTCTGATATATAGTCTGTAAACAAGACTATGTTGACTATTTGAAGATTTGATAAGCTGTACTGTATTTTGGTGTTTAATGCTTTCCTTACAACTGTGAACATGCTGAGTGCTATCTACAAAATATAGGTCAGTCTGTTGAGTAATAGGATACTTAAAGAGTATGCCCATTTTCTCTAATGTATGCTCATGCATCTACTCTCAAACACTATATGTCTTGTAATACATAAATGTATTTACCGTGACTGAGATGTAATTAATAGCAAGAAGAAGATCTTGAATAAAGTGAAAAGATACATATTTATATGTATCTCCTGTTGCCCACAGTCTTTTAGAGAATGATTTTCATCTTGAAACGGAGGAGTGGTCAGGAGTTGAGAATGTGTGAACGTCTAGGTTTTTAAACTACTCTTGTCTTCAGTAATCTTTATTAATTGTTGAAATGTTTTGTCTCTATTAAATAATATTAAATTATCTAGTCTGATTGAAATCATTAAGAAAATTACGTGGATGTTAGGTTACTTGTTATTTTCCTTTCCTTCAGTTTATCCCCACTGAAGGAGAATATTATATATATTTTATTAGGGACAAAGAAGACAGTGAGGAGAGTCAAAGCATTTATCACTAGCAGAGTTTTTATTTTACAGCTGAGAAAACAAATATGGAAAGGTGAAATATTTCATGAGTAAAAAGTAGTGATGCTTAGCATTTTCTTTCTTTTTTGAGGACTAAATACCTTTGGTTCAGGGTCAGCAGAACTAGATACTGTTTTAAGCCTCTCCACAAGATACTCTATAGTATCATCTTTTTTACCTTACCTGCTAACATTTGGGTAAATAGTGGTAAAATTAAAGGCCAATTCTATGGAATATGGTGACTAAACATTTCTACAGTGTTATCTTATGTAATAATGTTATAGTTTTCTTTAATCCACAATATGCACACATCCATGTGAACCACACTGTACAATCCCATTCTGTTTTCAGGTGGCTTTTAGGTGACCTTTCCAGATGCTTGCTTTCTTTGAAGGGAGTTTTTGTTGTTGTGTTATTGTAAAGCATAGCCTACATTTTATTACCAGTTCTTTTGTTTTCTGAAGGATAAGAAATTTAATACAAAGAGATTATATTAAGTATAATTTTTATTTGAAATCCTTAAGTCATCCACACATTTTTCATAAAGGTTTTTATAAACATCTTTAACCAGTCTAGCTTTTCCAGGTAGAATTAACAGTAACAAGTTATTTGATTGTAATCACAGTCTGAATAATTTAAGTAAGTTGAAATTAGTTGACAAGTAATTGTTATTCACAAATGAAAACGTTGGTTGTCCTGTAGTAATCAATGCATAGCTACAGCTGGTTGAAGGGGACCAAATCCATTGAAGAGGCGATTTGGTTCCATTTTACCAGCTCTAGCAAAGCATTGTAGTGCTGCTAGTTTGGGATCCAAAACAGTTAAATGCTTTTCATTGGTAAAATTACAATCATGGACCTTCTGCAAGTGTTAGAAATTATCATACCACTGCTTCAGTCACTAAATGCCAAATTTTCCATTCTGAAGTCACTTTCCTACTCTTTCCTGCACTTAATGGTTTAAAAGTTTTAATGGTTTAAAAGTCTTTTCCTTTTAACACATTACTGCATTAAGGAATGATCAATGTACATCTTTATTTTCAACATCTTTGCTTGATTCTTTTCATTTTTCTAATCGTGTCCACAGCTGAAGTCTTTGGTTAATTCTTAAATGTAGACAATAAGCTGTTTCAAAACCAATAGTATTTAAAGGAACAAATAGACCTTGATGTATTTTAGTGTAATGTTTTCCATTTATCGCTAGGTAGTAAACTAGATTACTTAAGTAGTTAATCTAATAGGTTAGGGAAGAGTTCTGTTAGTCACTCCCTTCTTAGCATTATAATTGAGGACTAATAGCAAATTATTGACAGTGGGTGGATCAGTGGCCTTAAGCAAGTACCTCTCTGCCTTTTGATTTATAAATAGATCACATGTGTATTCAGTGTAATGCTTGGACTTGTGTTGAAAGGAACTACCACGCATGCCAGTTTTTCTTTGTTTTTGCTTACGTAGTGTTACTAATCATAGGTTAGTAATTTAACCCTTTTAAAGGTCTATTTCCTTGACTAAGTTCTTTGTCATTTTGGGTACAGATTGCCTAGTTACTTCTCATTATCGACTTAGTGATACATTGACTTATGGTGGTTAGTTGCAATCCATGAATACAAGTATTAAAATCTATTGTGTGAATAATACTTGAAAAATCAGAGTAAATTTTTGTTATAATGTGGTTTTACTGTTGATTTCAATATCCTGGGAGGTGTGCTTTCTGAAACATACTTGCATAAAATAAAAGTTTAATAAATTATAATTTGCCTATAAAGTTAAGTGCTCTCAGAAAAATAGAGAAGTATTCGTTATAGTTACTGTTTTAAACTAAACTGGGAAGTCAACACTAATTCAGGCAATATGCAAATGATTCTTATATTAAGTATATTTTGCATCTGTTGGTTAAGTGTCATGCTGCTGGTGAAATTAATGTAACTGCAATTCTTTTTCATCATTTATTCTAGTAGAAGTGAAACAGGTGTTAAACTGCTTGAACTTAAGTGCTGAAGATAGCAATAACACTGGCTTCTATTTTTACAAGTTATATGGGAGCTGTTTAGCAGATCCAGTTGCTCAAGTGTGCTTTTGGATGGCAGTTCAGTTTCATATACTGGCCATATCGGGGCAAGGAGAGGCCATGGGAAAAAAATAGTACAACATTTGATAATGTCAGCATCTGTTATCCCTGTCAGGGAGACAGTTGAAATGTTTGAGTTATACCAGTGTCAGCAGATGCCCAGAGTTTAATATGTACTCAGTTAAAAATGAACAGCTGATCTAAGTGATAGATGTGACATTTTAGAGTGATTGAAAATACTCTTAGATATGTTAAGTTAAATTTGTAAGCACCAGAATCAGTATATAATTTTACTTTTGAAAATGAAAGCCTGTCATTTTATTTTCTAAGGATTATTTATATAGTCTTAATATTATAGCAAAGAGATTCTTAGTTGCTGGGATGGTTAAGAAGGATTATTAAACAACTTGTATACCTATAGAATGACCAATATAATTGTTTATTATAAAACACAAGTAGAGTAATAGCCTTTGAGTAGTTTTATAGAAGAGCCTCTATTTTTGAGGTATATATTTTGAGTTCTCGGTATTTAGGACCTATACAGGTAAACTTCCTAAATTGAACATGAATCATGGCCATTCTGTTTTGTGGATGATCAGAAGGGCTATGTTTATGTGAATTAAGCTTTGAACTAATTTCTTTGAAAATACAGAATTTAAAATTAGGTGTCTTTTATAATTTCCAGTAAAAATGAAGTAACATATATGATGCCATGTGTAATAGTCATTATCATCTTTATAATCTGCTGATAAAATGAAAATCATCTTTCTGTTAACTAGTTGTCTTATTAAACAGAGAGAAAATGAACTATAGTTAAATGTATAGTCATTTCTATTCAATTTCTGATACAAAAAATTTAAAATATGCTTTTTATACATGTGCAGATATTTCAGTTGAAATAATATGTTTACTAAGAAATGGTTAGAATACATGAGTACTACTATTTCTTTTTTTTTTTTTTTTAACTTTGTCATTAGTAGCTTAAAACAAGAACTGCTTATAAATTTTGCCAACAGCATTATTTGGAATTTTAAAATAAATAATATACAAACTATGTGAAATTAAAGTATTTTGATGTTTCTAACATAAACAATGGATTGATCATGTTTAGAGGAACTGAATTGTAATTACATAGTACTAATAAAAACAGTTATTCTATCTATATAAATTGGTTCTTGACTATAGTGCTTTCATTTTACATTCCCCCTTTGGAGAAGCAAATTCAAAGAAATTACAGATAATAAGTTAATTTCTTTTAAATATTTCGTAGTCTCTTACCAATATACCCTGCTGACTTACAGCTGTGGCCCAGAATTTTATCATTTTTCCTGCTTAAATCTTACATTTTAATTAATTTTAAGTTTTAACTTCACATTTAAAGTAGAGATTGGGTTAAGACCCTGATGAACTTGAGAAGGACAAGGGCCACTTTTTTTTTTTTGACAGTAGAGCCGTACTTAAAAGATAGTCTTTAAGAATTATAACTATGATTGTAGCTGTCAAAAAAGAAAACCTTTTTAAAACAACAAAACTTTTCAGTTCAGAAATTCCTCTAATATTAATGGATTATATACATTTATTAAAATGTGAAGAAATAGCTTATTATGTGAATGAAGCCAGCTCTTACTATCTTATTTTTCTATACAAATAAGTGAGCCCCACTAAGATCAAATTGTGGAGACAGAAAATAGGTCATATATATTCCTCATTCTTTTGTGCTAGTAATACTGTTGTCTCTTTTGTAGTCAAATTTTAATAATGAGAGTACTTAATGTAAGATATATGTTTTAAACTTAAATGATTTAAAAGGAATTTCATGATAATTGAAATCTACTTCACTGGAACTTCTTTTCCTTCATGAAATAAAAACCTTAGGGATATTTAGTTTCTATCTATAAGTAGCAGATAGCCTTTTTTTTTTTTTTTTTTTTTTGGGTGTTAATACTGCCAAAGGTCATCTGTTCATGACTAATTTACCTTATGAAGGTCATTTACGTGGAAAGAAGCAAGAGCTTCTTTTAGCTGCAGTTTAATTCTCTCTTGGTGGTTTATTGCCTACCAAAAATACATACTTCTTTACATTCCATAGCATTGTATGTTCATATGGGTACATAAAGAAGTATGTACTCTGAGTAGGTATTACTAGGTTGTTAGCTGTAAAAACATGAAATATTTTATTTTCTTATTTGTTAGCAAAACATTCAGCTTACTAATGTAGAGCAATGGTAAATCATTTGCAGAGACTAATTTATTGAAGAGTAAACTTTGTAACAAATTTACCTGAAGCATGGCATTAATGGTTCCATATTCTTGGTGGACATAGACATTCCTAAACATTTGACCAGTTATCTGTTGAACTTTGTCCTGGTTTGATTCTTTTTGCAACAGATTCATAGAATTAGTGTAGTGTTACAGAGTGTATTTCAGAAACTTAAAATCAGCCTATTGTTTCTTCAATCTTCAGAGTGAATTTCTTCTTTTTTTGTAGTCTGCTTCTAGATCCTACAGGTAGATAGTAATTAATTAAGTTCAAATTCTTTTTTACAAACTAGGTATCTTACTCAAAACTTAAGGAATTAACCAATAAATATTTCTGATATTGACTCCAAAGTTGAAACAAGGAGAAAAACCAGGATGAGTGTGAGTGAATTAACTTTTAAAGATTATGAATTTTTGTTAGTGTTTCATAAGGTTACAGATAAGAACTCATGATCATTTGAAAATCTGTCATTCTTTTTTCTTTTTAGTTCCTTACCTGAATTTTGCACTTTGGTGCTTCTCTTTGGGTTAAATACAAATATGGTTTGAATACAAATTCAAATAGATGTAGAAATATCTAATTTTGGTGAGTTTAAGTTGTTTTGATTCTTTAATCCTTTTAGTATACAGGATGATTGTCAGAATCATCAACTTTTAGAAAGTATCACTTCAAAGAACTGAAAGGTTTTAGTCCATGAGCACCTGGGTTTTACCTTGATCATTTAGCATGAAAAGAAAATACAGTTGGTAAGAAGGCTTCAGTTATTATGGTATTAGAAGGTTAATTTAAAAGAAAACCTCAAGAAATTTTCAGTTTGGCAAAGGAGAAAACAAAGGGCAGGGATGATAGTAGAATTTCTGCAGCTTGTGACAAAAAGCTAGTGCAGCTTATAGAGAGCAAATCAGAATGTAGCAGTAGATAGCCCAGCATTACAGCAGCTTCAGCAATGCAGCATTAGAATTACACCATGCACATTCTGATTTATTTTTGTGGCCAATTAATAGTAAGCATTAAAAAGTATTTTATGATCTGCCAGGTTTCTTGGGTGACTAAACCTTGAGATAGAAGCTAATAGTTTTAAAAAATAAGTATACTTTGGAAGCAGGATGTGACTTACTAGAGGTTCAAAATTATCACTTAATCTGAAACAATAACGACTAAATCTTTAATAATGTAAATGACAATAATGAATTTGTACATTTTTAGATCAAAAGTTACTGCCATGATATTTGAACAATATTCATTTTTACACTACATTAGCTCTCAACTTGATTTGTGAAATTAGGCTATGCTTAGATAGAATTTAACTTAACAATGATGAGAACATATATTGAGTCAATAATAGGTAAGCATGCAGAAAGTCATAAGCATCCTTAAAAGTACAGGCCTTGCGGGGCTCTGTTACCTGAAAGCTTAGTGTCATGCAGCATTTGCAGCAGGAAGAAAGGTAATGACCTAGAGAGTCACATCAGCAGCAGCCATCTCATCTTGATTGTTCGTTCACTCTATTCGCTGATTCAGCAATTTCTTTTCATGAGCCCGGTGAAGGAAGGGGATTTGTCAGTGAACACAGAACCTCACCTTTTAAGATAAATTTGAAAAACAAACAAGCAAACAAAAAACAAGCCTACTTTTCCCTCTCCTCCCCTTTTCGCATTAAAAAAACAAAAACAAAAACAAAAAAAAACAAAACACCACCACCAGCAAAAAAACTCTGCAATTAAATTGAATCAGCGTTGGCCTTTTGATTTAGAATGTCATATAAAACTCTTGCACAGATATGAGGGAAAGTTAAGCAATTTTAAAAGGCTGCTACAAAGGCAAAGAAAAGGAACCTAGTTGTCAGATGAAATGCTTCAGAAGAGGGGACAAAGTTGCAGAAGTTAATTTTATAATCTAAAAAAAGACCAAAAAAAAAAAAAAAAAACAGCAAAAACCCCAGAACCCAAACACACCTTACTCCCTCCCCAAGTAACTGTAAACATTCACCCTGTTTTTCTTTGCCCACCAGAATACATTGGGTTCTTCTGACTTCTTAGGAAATAGTCTGCATCTTTCTTGCTTTGAGATTTTTTTTTTTTTTGGTTTTTAGTTTCCAGGATCAAATGGTAGATCTGTAGTGAAGCTACCTTGTCACATCCAGAGGTCAAGTCTGCAATCGAGGTCAGGACTTCCACATGGTCACTACAAGGCTAACTTATATTCTTCCTCAGTGACCACAGGCTAAACTGTTACAGCTTTATAGGCAGCTAAGCATTTGAAACATGCACTCCCAGGCAAACAGGCTCTCTTGTGCCTCTCTCTTCCCTGACCATATTTAGTCAACCATAGCAAAAAATAGTCTCTCAGCTGTCGATTGTCGATCCAAAAGCTGAGGAAACCTCAATCTTGCTTTCTGCCTATTGATTGTTCATCCTGCGGTCCAAACACTGCTTTGCCATTTGTCCTGCCCCCAATTTTTTTTTTTTTTTTTTTTTTTTGGTTAAGCACTGCCAAATAAAGCGGTCTCTCATGTTTCCACTTACATTTCCCAGATTTTCACTGAGCTTGCGCTGAGACTAGGAAAGCCTGATGTGCTGTCACTATACTTAGAAGCACTGCAGAGAAAAAAGGAAAGAGGAAAAAAATTACCCTGGCTAGTAGCAAGATAATCTTTAGATAGTTAGGTACAAGTGAAGTCCCTCTACTGCCAAAATACATTTTATAACCTGATTTTTTGATTGACAAAAAATGTTATGGGTGGTGATATGTTATACAGGTAAAGGCCTGAAAGGATTTTGTAGGGTTATCTTTAGAGGTAGTTGTTGCCATATATGTGCTTTAAAAATTTGTTGAATAGTATTTGAATGGAAAATATAGAAATGGTAGGTAGGACCTGTATATTCGTGGTGAAGAGACATCATTAAGGGAGAAGAAAGATAGTAGTATGTAAATGAAATCCTGGAAGTGCTACTTAAAACAATCACTGTCAATTTCAGTAAATTTTTTTATGATGCTTTGGTAAAAAACAGCATTCAGCATGCTTTTAAGTAATTATACAAGTAGAAGTATTCAAGTGCATTTTATTATGAATTCTACTTTATATTCAAATGTGTAGTGTTTTTTCTGTCTCTTCTATATTGTCATGTTTCTGTAATTTTCTGAACTTTTAGATATGATCATTGCACACTTTACACAGATTGAAATAATCATTAATCTGTCTATAACTATATTACATAGTGTATGACTCAGAGGAAAAAATGCTTTTGTTCTAAATTTTAATAGCATATTCGAAAGAGATTTTGATATTGAAATTTTTAAATCAAAGATAAAAAATAATAAAACATGAAATCCAGTAAACCTGTGGAGATATAATTTAAGATCTCACCTAAAATGCCCATGAGCAACCAACTATACCTTGTTTTTAATCCAAATATGTCCCCTTAAGAATCAAGAAAAACCATTATCAGTTTTCTGAGCTTATCCACTTACAGAAGTGTGTCCTTCATGTTCTTTTTGTCTTTAGCATTTAATATCTTAGCAGTTTAATTATTTTGAACAGCTATTTTAAAACAGTGACATTAAGGAATGCTTCTTTGGATATTGGGCAGTTTTAGACAGCTTTCCTAAATATTGAAATAATTTTACTTATAAGAAGATGACATGTCTCAAAGTGTAAAATAAGTTAATTTTCAGTTTTCTCAAGTACCCCATTTTGTTAATGATTTTGTAGCAGTGAAAGTACTTGTTTTTTAAGCAAACACTTATATAATGTGTTACATGCCAGGTATTCTTTCTAAGCCCTTTATAAATATTAACTCATTTAATTTTCATAACAGCCCTATAAAGTAGGATGTGATTCTTCTCACATTTTACAGATGAGGAAACTGAGGCACAGAAGTTAAGTTATCTGCTGAAGTCACTAGCCATTATGGCTAGAGCCAGAATTTGAACTCAGATAATTTGGTTACAGACTAGGAGCTCTTCACCACTATGCCACACTGCTCGTCTCATTTGTGATAATGAAATGAGTTGGGGAGTTGTTCTTGGGGACTCGACCATGCACAAATATATATTGCTAATATCTTTGCCTCAGTATATTCGGAAATATCATTGATTATTTGATTATCTGTTTATTCATTTCTTCCATTCAGCAGAACTTTGAGTTTCCCTGTACTAGGCATATGAAGTATACCTTTTTGATCAAAACCCGTTCAAGTTGTATAGTAGCCTGCTTTTAGCATGCCCAAAAGAACTACTGGCAGTTAATCAACTTTCTTAATAAATACCTTTTTGAATTCTGGAGGAATCCACTTTATTTGAGGGATTGTTCATTAATTTAGCAAGCATTTATTAAACACATAATATGTGCTACAGTGCTATTCTAATGTTGTTTTGCTTTAAGTAATACTAATATGTAAGGCCTTCACAATTTAGCCAGTAGGGTTTGGGAAAATGTTGCCTGCCGCTGAAGAAAGATTGCAAAGCATGGCAGGCCCTAAAAATTGACCCAGTGCCATTTGAATACTACATACCAATGCAGACAGCTGCTTGTCCCCTCTACTTCTTAGAACTCATTTGTTCATCATTCAGCAAACGTTTGAGTACTATCATGTGCCAGGGATTATGCTAGGCACTGCTATTAGTTGTTCCGGAACTTAATGCTTCTTTGGCACTGTTCACAAATGCCTGCTTAACTGGTAGTAAGATCTTATCTTTAAAACATCCATGTCCTTAACCTCTTGGAAAACAACCACATTGAGCATTAGGGAAAATATCTCCAAATCTCATATACTTCGCTCCACAGGTGAGACAGTCTATTGGCTTAACAAAATTATTGAATTCTGGAGCTGGTAACACCTTTATCCCAGTAACTCTACGGACTTCAGTGCTTGCAGCTTAACAGTCTCCTCTTAATTAACTAAAGTGCTGCAGGGAACAGCCTGCAGCTAGCTGTCTTTGTAGTTTTAGTGTGTCTTCCCAAGATTTCCTGCTCCATGGAAAGAAAGGAGACAGGCTGCTCTGAACTACTGCTGTTGACATGAGAGTGAGGGGACCAGAGACTGTTTTGCTTAACTTTCCCTTAGCTCACCTTGCAGACTAGGCCCAAAAATGACCTCTTTTTTTGAGGCCCTATATTATTATTTGTTTCTGTTTTCTTGAGGGTATTGGCAATTTTTGATCAAGATGAGAGGGCTGTAGGTCTCTGTTCAAATAGTTTATGAGTTACTTCACCCTCAAGGAGGTGAAGTATAACTTCCTGCTCCTTAAATATGGGCTGTACATAGTTACTTCCTTCCTAAGAGCATAGTTTAGAGACAGGGAGAAAAGAATGTTTACGTCGGAGAAACATAATGAACACTACTTCAGCCAGGTGATCAGAGTTAACTTGTAGAGTCATATGGCATGTTGATAGTATGTACCCTTGGTGTGATATCATTAAATGGCACTTTATCTCTGTGGCCTTCTTCCCAAGAACCCCATAGCACAGTGTAATCATGAGAAGAGCATCAGACAAATTCCAACGGAGGAATATTCTACAAAATAACCCATTAGTACTCTTCAAAACTATCAGACTTATCAAAAACAAGGAAAGTCTGGGAAACTGTCACAATCCAAGGGAGCTAAGGAGAAAAAACAGCTAAATGTAATGTAGTATTCTGGAGCAGAGGAAGAACACTGAATAAAACTAAGGAAATCTCAATGAAGTATGGACTTTGGTTGAAAACAATGCTTCAACATTGGTTTATTAATTGTAACAAATGTACTATACAATGTAAAATGTTAATAATAAGGATGAGGGGTATATGGGAACTCTGTGCTAGCTTTGCAATATTCTATAAATCTAACATTGCTCTAAGATAAAAAGATTATGTAAAAAAAATTAATCTACCCACTCCTGGCTAGTTGACCCTTGCGTTAGTTTTGATTTGGGCTATCTACAATGTTTCTCCACAGCTTAGTAAATCAAGTTGATTTTGCTGTAATTGATTTCAAGAAAATATTAGGTGTTGTCTCATGTTCTTTTAAAAACGTGTATTAAAGGCAGGGAAGTATATTTTGCAATAAGCTTTTGATCAAATTTTTAAAAGATTTACTTAAAAAGAATTTGTGAAAATTGAGAAATGGTCAGATTTGTGCTGCATGGTATAGAGAATAGATGTAGAAGGGAGACTGTTACAAATGTCCTGAGGAAAGAGAATCACAGCCTAGTGAAAGAATGTTGGGGGCCACTGGGAAGAACAGTTTTAGTTTAAGGGAGAATCAGCAGGACAAATTGAATGTGGACATAATAGGGGAAAGCGTCTAGAATGATTCCTTGGTTTCTGAGTAGAATGGCTGATTAAATGGTAACAAGGGTAACCAGGATCAAGAATAAAGGAGGAGTATTGGGAAAGAGGAGAGAGGCAAAGAGGAATTTGTACTATGTTTGAGTATAGGTCTGTAATCTTAGAGTTGTCATAATACTATTATATTGAAGAGTTTGAGACCCTATACTGAAACATTTTTACATACATTATATCATTTAATTTTTACAACAGCTTTAAAGAGTGTGTGTGTGTGTGTGTGTGTGTGTGTGTGTGTGTGTGTGTGTGTATGTGTGTATATGTGTATTTTGAGACAGAGTCTCACTCTGTCCCCTAGACTGGAGTGTAGTGGTGCAATCTTGGCTCACTGCTAACTTTTGCCTCCCAGGGTTCAAGTGATTCTCCTGCTTCAGCCTCCCAAGTAGCTGAGATTACAGGCATACACCACCATGCCTGGTTAATCTTTGAATTTTTATAGAGATGGGTTTCACCATGTTGGCCAGGCTGGTCTCGAACTCCTGGTCTCAAGTGATCCACCCGCCTCAGCCTCCCAAAGTGCCACCTGCCTTGGCTTCCCAAAGTTTCATGTTATGGGATTATAGGTGTGCACCATCACGCCTGGCGCTTATAGGTATTGTAAGATATTCCTATATCAATTTTGATATTAGGTATGAATCATGATCATTTGTTATAGAGATATGAGCTAGAGATGTTATAGTTGAGAATGCATAGTGAGGGCTTTACAGGGTCCAGGTTTGGGCATTAACTTTATAGATCCAGAAGTAATTGGACTTGGGATAACATTATTTAAGCTTGTAAGAGATTGATATGTAAGTCAGAATGTCAAATTACTATTTACAGAAGGAAATATTGCTAAGTATAGTTCTCAAAATAGCTAATCAGTAGCTTTTTTTTTCACTTGCTGAGGGAGAAAACAAATCTACTCTGAAAAGTTACAACTAAAATTGGAAATTGACTGGTGAGCAGGACATTTGATTGAATGATCTTAACAGTGTCATTAACCTGTGATGATATTCCATGTGATGATATAGCATTCTACTGCAGGGCACAAAAGAATACTATAGTTGCCTGTCAGGAGACTTTCTCTTTGGATAATTTTGAGGATACATAGACAAATTCTTTTTCTCATTACTTTTCCAGGCTTCACACAAACCATTTTTTCTCTCTCTTTTAAAACCAGTTATTATTTTCCAGACAAAGACACATAGTTTTCATCTTTTTTTATTGTAATTCCATTCTGGTGATTTAACTTTTAGCTTAATTGGACTTCTGGATCTCCTCTTCTACAAATCTTTTTCTCTAGTTGCTATCTATATGTTTTATTTACTTAACTGTTACCTGACGTAGTCACCTCATTTGCCAATAGAACATTGTTTCTCAAATCACCATTTCCATTTAAAATACCTTGCTAGTGTTTTAACAATTTAATCAGTTTAAAATGAGGTATTTCTATTAACTAGTGCCACATTGTTTTTCAGTTTTTATTTTTATGGTGTATTTCTTACTCATTGTTTTAATGGGAATAGAGATGGTATTTTAATTCTGATTAATATCATAATTTGCAATTTTTATGTAAGTGGGATTAATTAACAGAGTACATTCGTGCTGAGAGGAAAACTACCTCCCTAAAAATCTGATCTTTGCATTTTAATGTTAGGATTTGAGTACTTTGTAGAGGGTGATCTGGAAGGGACTAGGACAATTTTTGTCACTTCAGTCATACCCTGAAATTACTGTCTTTCCCTTGTTCTGACGGTTCAGTTATATATATCCTGCTGAGAGGAAAAACCAAAAAGACACAAAGTAAGGAGACAGCAGAGAGCCAGTAGGCTTTCAAGAATACATATCTGTTTCTGTTTAAGTATCTTCATAACTTTCTGAGCCATGGCCCTTTTGAGGGACTTTAGCCTCTCCTAGCTTGTTCACTTATGAAATGCAAGACCAGACAAACAAGTAAATGATGGCTTCATCTCAGCCAGCACCTTGTGCCCAGAGGAGGAATTGCTCTCCTGCCCCTTTTCTATCTTTGAGCTGTTGGCATTGTATTACTTTTAATGGCAAAAACTGCAATTACTTTTGCACCAACCTAATATGGGAATGTACTTCTGAAACTAGAATGGAAGACAGTGGAAAACATGATTCTATTAACATTTTCTCAGAAATATCTATTTAATTAAAAGACTTTAATCAAACTTGATGAAGTTAGTGTGAACTATACTTTATAATTTGATACTTACTGTAACATTCATATATCTGAGAGGCTAAAAGGAATAAAGGTGTAAGTTAAAAATATTTCAAGGCAGTAAGCCCAAGTATTAACTTAGTGATTTGATTTCAAAAATGTTTTTAGGCTGGGCACGGTGGCTTATGCTTGTAATCCCAGCACTTTGGGAGGCTGAGGCAGGCAGATTGCTTAAGCTCAGGAGTTCAAGACCAGCCTGGGCAACATGGTGAAACCCTGTCTCTACAAAATATACAAAAAATTAGCCAGACATGGTGGCATGCACCTTTACTCCCAGCTACCCAGGAGGCTGAGACAGGAGGATCACTCGAGCCTGGGAGGTTGAAGCTGCAGTGAACTCTGATCGCCACTGCACCCTAGCCTGGACACCGGAGAGAAACCCTGTTTCAGAAAAAAACAAAAAAAGTTTTTAATCAAGCTAATATTTGTACATAGTTAAGTCGGATGTTACTACAAAGCTTATAATGAAAAATAAATGCCTTCTGCTTCATCCTTCCTTACCCCTTTTTTGTTCCCACCAGCAACTTGTAGCTTATCCTATAATTTCTTAATTTATCAATTATAGGTGTATAGTGATTTCATGTTATGGAAAATGAAGATTTAAAACTAATACCCTCTGTTACTACCATTCCTCTCAACATGATTATATCATAATTTTTGTTTAAATCAATACGTATTTACATTATAATTTTTATATTTTGTTTTTCATAAAATGCCTTTTTCACGTGATTTAATACTTGTATCTTTTAAATTTTCCAGAACTGTAAAACCCTTGTAAATTCTGTTTCTTAAATGCTCATATGCATAGGGTAAGAGATAATGTATGCCACTGACATCATGACTATCCAAATGTCAGTAGTATAATGTGGTACCAATACTTTTTCCCATTAGGAATCTCAAAGTCTATACAGTATTTAGTATTTTTTTTCTATTTATGGCATGAGGAGGATTAAAATCCTTACTAGTGACTAAAAACAAAAGCAGAAAACCTTAGTCTTATATGAAACCCATGAATGGAATTTAGGGGTTTATGGACTCACCCAAAATTGTATTAGTAGGTAAAGATTTTGACATGCATTTCTCTGGAGGAGAGCCCATAGCTTTCCAAAGAAGTCTGTTACCTCCAAACAGTTATTGTAACTCAGTAACATCCATGGAAGGGACTCTGTACGCTGGGATTCTCAGTAAACTTTGGGTTCATAAACCTGTTTTAAAAGTCTAATAAAAGTTTCCAAATGATTAAGTATAATTGTAGAGGTTCTTTGATCCTTCACAAACCATTCTCAGACTTCTTGAACTTATTTCTGCTCTATTATGCTTGCAGTTTTAAATCTTTGATTCTCTTTCATATAACTTTCTCCCTTTGCTTTGTAAATATTTTATTACTGATTTTTAAATTTTAAATATTAAATATGATGGCCATTTTGTGAGTTTTGCTCTAAACTTGATTTACTACTTCTAAATGACATACTTTAAATTTTAACTCTGCAATTCATGATAACCAGCTATACAATAATCTGCCAGCTGTCTAAGATAGTTCAGCATATATAGTGTTTTAATTATCATAGTTTTTCCTACTTCTAAAAATTGTCATCCGACTGTTCTTCATTAACTTTTTCATTGATAAATACTATTGATATTGAACCTGAGAGATTCCACAAAGCCAAAGTGGTGCCCTCATTAGGGTATATTTCTTTTCTCTTTGTTTTTTCCCTCTTATGTTTCCTCTTTGTAGCAATTCATTCTATTTTTATTCTGTTTCCCAAATATGACAATGTGCCTACCTCTCAAAATGTCAAAAGCTAGCTGGGCATGGTGGCATGCACCTGTAGTCTCTGTCAAGGCCAGGCCGGGCAACGTAGCAAGACCTCATCTCTTAAAAAAAATTAAATTAAAATGCTTCATATTTGAGATTTAGAAAAGTAGAGTTTCTGTTTGTCTCTAAGAACATGATATTTTTCAAGAGGAATATCTTCATTTGATTGTTGCAAAAGTTTCTTTTGAGTATATTTTTCTAAAGAAAATAAATATATCAAATTATGTAAATATAGAAATTATATGAATTTGACTTTCAGTGCAATGCGTGTTTTACTATCTAAATTACCAAGACCATGGATTGTGGATGAGAAGAAAGATGATGGTTATACTGCCTTACATCTGGCTGCCCTTAATAATCATGTAGAAGTGGCTGAACTGTTGGTACATCAGGTAAGAAAAGAGTTAAATAATTTTTTTTTAAACAATTTGGGACCATTGCCATTCATTTATTTATTACTTTATAAATTGCCTATTAACAGTTTGCAGTAAACCTTATGATGATGAAAATTCAGATAAAATACATATTCTGTCTTCTGCCTAATACTTCTTAAATGCAGGGTGTATGAGAGTGAGTCCCCCAGTTCCCAGGATTTCCTTTGCACAGTCTTCCTGGATTGGTCCTATGAAATGGGCATCAACTAACAGGGATTTCCCAGAATTGCTGCCACTGTTAGAAGTATCATCAACCACAGCACCAAACACCATCCATGTTGATACTTAAACAGTGTGGCCAGTTGTCATCAGACTGCAGTTTGTGCTAAGATCAGGGGATTTATTTCACAACTGCTGCTGACCCCTGGAATTTATGGGCTCGATGGCAGTACATGCTCACCTTAGTCATATCATTTATCTCAGAATAAGATGACTCTACATTTTTATGAGATTGGATTTTGAGGGGAGCCTATTTTGTAGTTTTAGGATATTTCAGTAATTTCAGCAAATTTTTCACATGCTTCAGTAAAGCATATGCCATATACATGCACTGAAGTTATCAAAGAGTTATCTGTGATTCCTGACTTCAAGGAATTTATAGCCAAGATGATGAAACAGCAGAAAAATTTAGCAAATAATATATGTAATTAAGTACCAAATTATAAAGTATACATTCCAAAAACGACAGAAATTTAAAGAAATAGTTCAAAAGTTAAACTACCTTCCCCCACTACTACCTTAAACCTTTACTATTAAAGTTACTGCTCTCTATTAATTATGATAAATCCTTTTTATTGAAAATCTAAATGACCTTATGCCACTATCATGCTGTCTTACTTATTGTTGCCTTATAGTAAGTCTTGAAATGAGGTAGATTAAATCCTCTTTGTTCTTCTTCTCCTCAGAATTACTCTAATGTTCTAGTTCTTTTGTATTTGCATGTAATTGTTTTTTTGAGACGAATCTTGCTCTTGTTACCCAGGCTGGTATGCAGTGGCAGGATCTCAGCTCACTGCAACCTCCACCTCCCAGGTTCAAGAGATTCTCCTGCCTTAGCCTCCCAAGTAGCTGGGATTACAGGTGCCTGCCTCCACGCCTAGCTAATTTTTTTTTTTTGAATTTTTAGTAGAGACGGGGTTTCTCCAGATTGGTCAGGCTGTTCTCAAACTCCTGACCTCAGGTGATCTGCCTGCCTCAGCTTCCCAATCTGCTGGGATTACAGGTGTGAGCCACTGTGCCCGGTCTTTCTTTGTTTTTGAGACTGGGTCTCACTCTGTCACCTACGCTGGAGTACAGTGGTACAATCGTGGCTCACTGCAGCCTTGACCTCCCAGGCTCAAGTGATCCTCCTACCTCAGCCTCCCAAGTAGCTGGGACTGTAGGTGTGCCTGGCTTTTATTTATTTATTTATTTTTTGTAGAGACAAGGTCTCACTATGCTGCTCAGGCTGGTCTCAAACTCCTGGGCTCAAGTGATCCTCTTGACTCAGCCTCCCAAAGTACCACCGTGCCTTGTCTATATAAATTTTAGAATTAGCTTATTAGTTTAATAAAGTCTATTGGGAGTTTGATTGCTCTTGCACATACTAGATTTATTATCCAGTAGCTTTTTGGGGATGCTATTATAAATTATATTTTAGCTGGATGTGGTGGCACACCCCTGTAATGCCAGCTACTCAGGAGGCTGAAGCAGGAGGATTGCTTGGGCACAGCAGTTTGAGGTTACAGTGAACTGTCCACTGCATTCTGGCCCAGGCAACAGAGTTGCCCTGTCAGTCAGTGAGTCACTCAATATAATTGTTTTTACATTTAAATTTCCAGTTGCATATTGCTAGTAAATATAAATACAATTTTTGTATATTTCCCATGTATCCTGTGACCTTGCTGAAACTCATTTGTTCTAATATCTTCTCTATAGATAACTTAGTATTTTTGTAGCAATCATACAAACCAAAAGAATAAAAAATGCAGAAGTAGAACCACACACATGTATAAACAGCAACTCAAATTACTTAAGAGAACAAAGAATCACACATATATGGTCAATTACTTTTTTTTTTTTTTTTTGAGAGGGAGCCTCACTCTCTCACCAGGCTTGAGTGCAGTGGTGCCATCTTGGCTCACTGCAACCTCCGCCTCCTGGATTCAAACGATTCTCCTGCCTCAGTTTCCCAAGTAGCTGGAATTACAGGCATATGCCACCACGACTGGCTAATTTTTGTATTTTTAGTAGAGACGGGGTTTCACCATATTCGCCAGGATGGTCTTGATCTCCTGACCTCGTGATCTGCCTGCCTTGACCTCCTAAAGTGCTGGGATTACAGGCATGAGCCATTGCATCCAGACTGGGCAATTACTTTCTTATAGAAGTACCGAAGTAATATGAGAAAGGATTGTTTCCTCAAAATAGGGCTAAACCAAGTAGATATCCATATACCAAAAACAACAACAACAACAACAACAACAACAAAACAAAAACCTTGACTTTACTTCACAACTTATCCAAAAATTAAATGGGTTATAGATGTGAACATAAAAGCTTAAACCATGAAGCCAGCGAGACCTGGTGACTTATGGCTGTAATCCTGGCACTTTAGGAGGCTGAGGCAGGAGAATTGCATGAGTCTAGGAGTTTGAGACCAGCCTGGGCAACATTGTGAGATCTCACCTCTATAAAATATATATATATTTTTAATTAGCTGGGCATGGTGGCATGGGCCTGTGTCCCAGGTACTTGGGAGGCTGAAATGGAGGATCATTTGATCCTGGAAGGTTGAGGCTTCAGAGAGCCATGATTGCGTCACTGCACTCCAGCCTGGGCAACAGAACAAGGCCTTATCTTAAAAACAAAACAGAACAAAATCAGACACAAAAAATTAGAGGAAAACATGAGTACATTTTCTGACAATGAGGTGCACAAAGTTTTTAGGAGACAAAGCCACAATCAAAAAAGAAAAAAGATTAATAAATTATACTTCATCAAAAACTAAACTTCTACTCATCAAAAGACACCATTAAGAAAATGAATAGGAAAGCCACAGTAGGGAAAACATATTTGACAAAGGACTGGAATCCAGAAATGTCATAATTTAATAAAAGGATTGGCTGGATGCGGTGGCTCACGCCTATAATCCCAGCACTTTGGGAGGCTGAGATGGGTGGGTCACTTGAGGTCGGGAGTTTGAGACCAGCCTGGCCAACATTGTGAAACTTCATCTCTACTAAAAATATAAAAATTAGCTGGGCATGGTGCACGTGCCTGTAGTCCCCAACTACTCGGGAAGCTGAGGCAGGATAATTGCTTGAACCTGGGAAGTAGAGGAGGTAGTGAGCTGATATCATGCCACTGCTTTCCAGCTCAGGCAGAGAGGGAGTGAGAAACTGTCTCTAAATAAATAAATAAATAAATAAATAAATAAATAAATGGACTCTTAAAAATGGGCAAAAGATTTAAACATCCACCTTATTAAAGGAGATACACAGTTAGCAAACAGGCAAATGAAAGCATTATTGGTGATTAAGGAAATAGAAATTACAGCCACAACTAGTTACCACCAATCGCCCACTAGAATGACTAAAATTAAAAGACCAGTAAAACCAAGTATTGGTTAGGTTGTGGAACAATTATAATTCATGTACATTGCTGGCGTTTTTTTAAAGCAGCTTTGAAAAACAAATTAGTGGTTTCTTACAAAATTAGACATATATTTACCATGTGACTCAGCTATCCCACTTCTAGGTATGTACCCAAGAGAACTTAAGATACCTTTCCAAGCAAATATTTGTACTAAATGTTTGTAGTAGCATTGTTTATAACAGCCCTATACTGGAAGCAAAGCCAAATATTCATTAACTAGTGCCGGGATAAACAAATTGTACAAATTGTGGTGCACCCATGCAGTGAATTACTACTTAGTGAAATGTAAATGATGGGAAAACTCAGGTAACTTAAAGAAAATCCCCACTGTTCACATTTATATGAGAAATAGACATGATAAAAAAATTAAGCTGATATTCGGGAGGCTAAGGCGGGAGGATTCCTTAAGCCCAGGAGTTTGAAGCTGCAATGAGTTATGTGCCACTGCACAACAGCCTAGGTGACAGAGTGAGACCCTGTCTCAAAAAAAAAAAAAAAATAAAAATAAAAATAAATAAATAAATAAATAAATCTGAAATCAGGTGCCTCTGATCACAGTTCAAAGAAACATAATAAAAACAAATGAGACATTCCTATCTTGGAGAATATGACATAACATTACCAAAGTTTCAGCTTCACTAGATAGCCCCTGGGATCAGAGTTGTAATCAGAGGGCATGTGTGGTTCTAAGACCTAAACAAAATGATCAAAGTTTATCTTTTGAATCTTCAGCTGTTTTCTTGATTTTTTTTTTTTTTTTTTTGAGATGGAGTTTCACTCTTGTTGCCCAGGCTGGAGTGCAATGGCGCAGTATCGGCTCACCGAAACTTCTGCCTCCCAAGTTCAAGTGATTCTCCTGCCTCAGCCTTCCAAGTAGCTGGGATTGCAGACATGCACCACCATGCCCGGCTAATTTTGTATTTTTAGTAGAGATGGGGTTTCTCCATATTGGTCCTGACCTCTGGGTGATCCACCTTCCTTGGTCTTCCAAAATGCTGGGATTATAGGTGTGAGCCACCGCGCCTGGCCCTTGATCTCATTTTTTAAAATTATGCTAGACATTTGCTAGGCAGTTTTATATGTTATTTCCCTGTGCAACAGGTTGTAACTGTCACCATTTTGGAGCCGAGAAAATAGATGATAGAGCTTCGACCGAAGTCCCCTGACTCCCAAGTGCAGTTGTTTTGCTCCTTAGTCCCTTTCTTCATTAGGGTTCAGCTGTTCTCATATGGTCCTTTGGCTGTCCTAGGATCGGGTAGGACTTTCTGCTTACTTTAGTACGTAATTTTATGTACTAATTAAGCATTGCCTTGTCACGTCAAGCAGAGTTTCTTTTCACAGAGTGAGGAAGAGCTCAAATATGCAGCAAGGGGAAGTGACTTATTAGGTCATTAAAATAAATCTAAATCCAATATGAAGACATGTTAATATAACTTTTCAGGAAATATTTACAGTTCAAAGGAGTTGATTATCTCCATTGCTTTATAGTGGAGATTGTAAGAGAGCTGTGTTTGATCTCCACTGTGCTTTGTTCTTTTTGACTGTTCTTAGATGGAATTACCATAATAAAAATGATTTTTAAAACTTGCTATTTTACTTCAGAAAGTTTGCTGCCCCATCCATGTTTTCTACTTCGGCAGCAACTGTTACCACGTGAGAATAACATTGCAGCAGCTGAAGGAGAAAGTAGCCAGCAGTGTCTGGTGTTATTTATTCCTTATGAATATTTATAGTTTTTGTGTTCATTACTGTTGTCAATTAACCATTTAAAATTTGTTCTTCTTGTTCAGGGTAATGCGAACCTGGATATCCAGAATGTGAACCAACAAACCGCCCTACACCTTGCTGTTGAACGACAGCATACCCAAATTGTTAGGGTAAAGTATTGACATATGTTTTAGCTTACAATTATGTTTTAACCATACAGATTTTTAGAACTTCCTGAAAATTGAAATGATACAGTGTTAAATGTCTCAAATGGCATAGTTAGATGTAAGTAAATCTAAATGCAATGTGATTTGCCAAGGCAGGTAAGACTATATGCTTGAGATTGACTTCTATAGATGGTACTTTTCTAAAGCTCTTCAATAAATATCGTAGAAAGGATTATGAAAATTGTTAAAGCACCATAAGCAAAGTTGTAATAAACACTTATTTACTGTTTAAGTAATCTATTAAAATATGTCAACTATGCATTTTTATCTAAGAGGTTGTAGTTTAGCAAACATTGTTCACATCTATTGTTATTTGAAATTCCTCTTGCTATCCTCTGTGGCTTTCCTCATGGCCATACGTTTGGAGAAAATTGACCAAAACAGGATGGAATCAACAATAACATTTGCTTATTTGTTTACATAGTAGAAGAATTTTGAACATCATGATTTGATCTGGCATAAATGCTTAAAAATATCTCAAGTTATACATCTACAGTTAAAAAGAGAAATAAAGCCTTAAATATCTCCCTGTTACCATCATGTTAGATTAGATGAATTAAGCAACATATCGATTCTCATTTATTTTTATTTTCTCTAATTCAATATATTTAAATAACCAGGAATCACTCTTTGTAAGGAGCCACAGGGTTGGAAGAGTAGAAGGCAAAAGCATAAAAATGATTACCTTCAGTGGTAACTTCTTCAATAGGTCCAAGGTGCCCTCACTGTTACTTTAGATATGCTGAAGATTCTTATGGATGTAGACACTTTACCAAAATGAGACATCTTTCTCTTTTAGCTTTTGGTCCGTGCAGGTGCCAAGCTTGATATTCAGGATAAGGATGGGGATACTCCTTTGCATGAAGCTCTAAGGCATCACACTTTGTCTCAGCTGCGTCAGCTCCAAGATATGCAAGATGTGGGGAAGGTGGATGCTGCGTGGGAGCCATCCAAAAACACGGTGGGTAAAGATCATCTTTCATTCATTACTAGTGGAAGGATCTTTTTATGTAAGATCTTATATTTACTGGTAATCTAATCTGTATTGGATAAAATATTTTATCAGGGCTATGTACTTAGAAATTTAGTTTATGAACTGAGTTCTAGTCAATTCTAACTAACCTATTGTTCCACATTTTTACCAAAAGTTGTTCAGTTCTTTTTAACTTCAGCCATTCAAATAGATATGTAGTGGTATCTTATTGTGGTTTAATTTGCATTTCCCTAATGACTTTTGATATTGAGCATCTTTTCATTTGCTTGTCACCACATGTATTTTATGAAGTGTCTGCTCATATCTTTTGTTCATTATTCTGTTGTGCTGTTTGTTTTTTTATTACTGAGTTTTGAGAGTTCTTTATGTAATCGGAATACAAATTCTTTATATGTGATATGCACATAATTTCTCCCAGTCTATAGGAGATTTGTCTTTTCATTCCTTTAACAGTGATTTGGACGAGTCAGTTTTTTTTAATTGTGAGGAAGTCTAATTTATCAAGTTTTTCTTTCATTTGTTTGTGTTTGTGTGTTCTGTCTGAGAAATCTTTGCGAAACCGAAGATCACTAAGGTTTATTTTTATGTTTTGTACTAGAAGTTTATAAAACTTTAGCTGTTACGTTTAGGTCTATGATTCTTTTTGAGTTAATTTTTATATAATGTGATGTATGGATCCAGGTTCGTTTACTTGTGGATATTCAGTTGTTCCAGTACCATTAGTTGAAAAGACTTTCTTTTTCTACCAAATTGCCAGTATACTTTTATCCAAAATCAGTTAACTGTATAGTGAAGATCTCTTTCTGGATCATGTATTCTGTTCTGTTGGTCTTTGTTTTTAGCTATGTGATGCCAGCCCCAGTCTTGATTACTGTCTGCATAAAATGTGTTGAAGTCAGGTAGTGTAAGTCCAGTTTTCTTGTTTTTCAAAGTTATTTGGTTATTCTAAGTCCTTCACCTTTCCATATGAATCCTGGAGTCATTTTTAAGAGGGTAAAAAGGTTCTGAGACCAAAGTGTTTGAGAACTGCTGCCTTATTTATGACCATGGGTAAATTCTCTTAACTCTTGTGTGCCTCCTTTTATCTCATTTTAAAATGGGAAGAGGAGAGCACTTACCTCCATAAGGTGTTGTAAAGATCATTGAAAGTGTGTAAAATAATACTTGATCCATTTTAGATACTCAATAAATGTTAACAATTACTGCAATTATTTTCATAAAAGATAATAACATCAGAACCTATTTTGTCATATTTTCCATATCTTGGCTCAATTCCTAGTTATTGGTTCTTTTCTCAGTTGTCTCTCCTATCCTTATTTTAAGTTGATTGCTAGCAGCTCCAGGGCCAAATTAATTAGGAAAGAGAGCAGTGTTTCTTCAGTATCTTAATCAGAAGTCCCACTTTTGAGTTCCATTGGCTTTAATTGACTTGATTTGGGTTAGGTGTCCATTCCAGTACTAGTCATATAGGTAAAGTAGAGATATCTGACTGGTTTGGGCCATATTTGGTCCACCTCTACAGCTGGAGGAAGCATACTTGTCTGTATGCTTGAGAAAACCAGCGGTAGAGCAGTGGGGACGGAACATTAGGACTGGACCACATAAATATCTGCCACACGCACACACACACACACACGATGGTAAGAATTGATGGCAGATTCCTAGAGGGAAAATCATGACTCTTTTTATTTTATTTCAGTTAATAATGGGACTTGGTACCCAAGGGGCAGAAAAGAAGAGTGCAGCATCTATTGCCTGTTTCTTGGCAGCCAATGGCGCTGACTTGAGCATTCGAAATAAGAAGGGTCAATCACCACTTGATCTCTGTCCTGATCCAAATCTCTGCAAAGCACTAGCAAAGTGTCATAAGGAAAAAGTCAGGTTGGTATTATTTATTATCATAAAACTTAATATTCTGTACAGAAAGTATCATGTGGTTTCATAATGGAGGATGTGCCTACTTGAAAATGTCTTTATCCTTGCTTTTCCTATATCTTTGTGTTTACCCTTTCTTCCCTGAAATTTTTCTTCCTTGAAAATTTTTCTGCAGGCAGCATATGTCTTATTTTACGCCATATTCCCCGCATTAAGTGCAATGCTCCATACTTAAGTTCCAAGAAACTTTTCTAAACTAGTCTGATCTTGCAGTACTTCCATGTATTAGAGGAATTGATAAGAAAATGTCTTCTAGTAAAATTGCTTTATCAATGTTTTATGTATTTTAAATTGTATTGACTTTTTATTTTATTATTATTATTATTATTTTTTTTTTTTTGAGACGGAGTTTCGCTCTTGTTGCCCAGGCTGGAGTGCAATGGCGCAATCTCGGCTCACCGCAACCTCCGCCTCCTGGGTTCAGCCAATTCTCCTGCCTCAGCCTCCTGAGTAGCTGGGATTACAGGCACGCGCCACCATGCCCAGCTAATGTTTTGTACTTTTAGTAGAGACGGGGTTTCACCATGTTGACTAGGATGGTCTCGATCTCTTGACCTCGTGATTCACCCACCTCGGCCTCCCAAAGTGCTGGGATTACAGGCTTGAGCCACCGCGCCCGGCCCTATTATTATTTTTTTAAAGATAGGTCTCGCTGGGTTGCCCAGGCTGGACTTTAACTCCTGCGCTCAAGTGATCCTGCTGCTTCATCCTCCCAAATAACTAGGCCTATATGCATATGCCACTGTGCCTGGCTCTATATTTAAAATTTTAATAGAGTCTTCCTAAGAGAGGCAACTTACACTCCATGAATAGGGTATATCTCACACAAACCCTGTAATAAATCTAGTACCCTGGTCAGTGCCTGACAGGTGCACTCAGTAAGTGTCAATGGAGAATTGACAGAATAAACAAATGAATGAACCAATTCCTGATGGAGTTTTCTCTGAAGATGATCATTTCACATTTGTCTCTTTTTGAACATAAGATATGTCAGTGATTTTAATTATTATTTATGACATAACTAATTTCCTTATGAGATTTTATGGACGTACAAAATTGCTTTTTTACCTGAACAGTGCTGTGCAGCTATTGTTGCCCTTTATACCTGGTTCTTGTCACTGAACATTTCAGTAGCTGTTCCTTAACCTTTGTGTTCCTTGGCCCTCTTATAATTTGTGTGTAGTGATGAAATGCCATCTTTTTGGAAACTGTGCATAGAACTGTGTTATAGGTGAAGTTAATATTGTGAGGTATATACATTTCTTTAAGTGTATTCTTAAGGAACATGAAATTCTATTACAAAAAGAGAATGCATTGGCTGGGTGCAGTGGCTCATGCCTGTAATGCCAGCACTTTGGGAGGCTGAGGAAGGTGGATTATCTGAGGTCAGGAGTTGGAGACCAGCCTGACTAACATGGTGAAAACCAATCTCTACTAAAAATACAAAAATTAGCCTGGCACATGCCTGTAATCCCAGCTACTTGGGAGGCTGAGGCAGGAGAATCGCTTAAACCCAGGAGGCAGAGGTTGCAGTGAGCTGAGACTGTGCCACTGCACTCCAGCCTGGGCAACAAGAGCCAAACTCCATCTTTTTTTTTTTTTTTTTTTCCAAAAAAGAATGTGTCTGTAAGTATAAAGATACAAGGTACCATAATAACTGCAGTAATAACTTTTAAACAATAGGGTCTAAGATGGACCCTCTTTGTGTACATGTGTGTGTGTTCATGTGTGTATGTGTTCATGAGTTTCTGAAGATTGTGGTAGAAACAGGGCATCCCTTTCCTGTAGCTGTAGGTGGTCATATGTATTTCTGTGCCTTGTATCTATATGTTTACAGATGCATTCTGTCTTTCCATAATATAATTTTATGCTCCTTAAGGATACACTTGAAGAAAAATGTCAAAATAGCAGCTGAAGTGTCATATTTTCCAGTGTACCCTATCTGTTGTGGACTCTAATGCTTTGTTCTGTCTTTAGTTAGGATAACTAACATGGGGGCTAGTTATGATTTGTGTTTTTTTCCTATATCTTCCTCTGCTGGTTCTACATAGATAGAACAGGTTCTGAGCAAACTTTTGTTTATGCTGAGCTATTTTTTTATTGCTGTTTTTTATTTCTCTGTTAGAAGATTCATCCTTTTCCATTGGGTGGGTGAGTGTTCAACTTGAAGTTTGAAGTGTTTTAGAAGTACCTAAGGAGCAGAGATGTATATAAACAGAAAAATACAATGTTTTACATACAGATGTTAAAGCTTAATTTTTTAAATATGACTGGTTTTTGTGTATACTAATGATGCTCCAGGTGTATTTTTAAACATTTTAATTAGTGAATTTGTGATATGTTCGGCTTGATTTGAAATATTTTCTTTTATTAGTGGTCAAGTGGGTTCTCGGAGTCCTTCTATGATTAGTAATGATTCTGAAACCTTAGAAGAGTGTATGGTGTGCTCAGATATGAAGAGAGATACTCTTTTTGGCCCATGTGGACATATTGCTACATGTTCTTTATGTTCTCCACGAGTAAAGAAATGCCTCATCTGTAAAGAACAGGTTCAATCCAGGACAAAGGTAAGATATATTTAATATAGTATTTTGTCATTTTATGAAGTTCTTTAAGACTAGAATTAATGATAAATAAGATTATGTGACATCATGGGTTTGTATAACTTTGCTCTTCCAAATAATAATTTAATTATAGGAATGTGTAATTGCTGCATTTATCAGGAGCTCAGTTCAGAATTTCTTAATTTATTGCTGGTTTACAATCTTGCTTATTAATGTACTGATTTGCTAAGTTCATTATTATCTGAGTTTATTGATATACCATTTTTACTGCCGAAATTTTGTTTAGCTCTTAATGTGTTTTCTTCATTATATCAAAAGTGTATGCAAAGTTAAAATTATCTATCATTTTGCTTTCAAAGCTCCCTATAACCTAAGGATACATTTAATTCTACTTTAGATTTAGTGTCCTATATGTTGCACTTTCTTTGGAGTGCACAAACTGCTTTGCATTCATGTTTGTAAAAGACTTAATTCATTTTTTTGTTGGAATGTCACACATTCTAGATTTGTTTGATTGTTTTGTCATGGTGTTGTTTAACTTGCTCTCTATCTTCTGTGTTTCCTGTAAGTTGGAAGTTAGATGTAATGGTTTGATTAGGGTCAGCTTAACGTTTTTGGCAAGAAAGCTTCACAGCTGATGCCATGCACTTCACATTGTGTCCCATCTGGAGGCAAATAAAGTCTTGTCTTCCTATAACTAGTGATGGCCAAAATCTATTACCTACTCTGAACTTTTTCTCTCTCCTGACTCCTTTTCCTTTTTGAAAAGTATAGTTCTTTTCTGAGTTTTATTATTTTCCGGGTACCTTAGTGCTTTATTATAACTGTACCATATTACTAATTTTGGTTTGCTGAAATCGTTTATTTTTTAGTTTTTCAGTACTCAAATGTGTGTGTGTGTTACATATAAAGTGAGATTTGAGTTTCTTACAAGTGTTTCTCGAGGTGAATAGTTTAAACCAAAGAGTATGTTGGATTTGAAGTAAAAACTCAGGGAGTTTATACTCTTTTTAATCTTTATTTCTGTCTCGCAGTTTATTTTTTCTTAAGCTATTCATTAACCATCATTAATCAGAAAGGAGCTGATAGTAATTCTCATAATGAATTAGCTGGCAGTGACTTAAAAGGTGTTGCCTTACCAGTGCTTCATTTTCAACCTTCTAAGCCTGGATGGTTTTTATGATCCAGATTAATGTATCTTTAGTAGAATTTTTGGCATAAGAAAAAGCACAAGAAAGTTATTTTTGGTAGGAAATACTGGAGTGCTTGTATGTATATGGCTGCTTGATTAATTCATCAATGTGAGAAAGGTGAACTAGTAGCACTTATTGTGTGCCACTGTGTTGGCATTTCATTTGTATTAAGTAGCTGCTTGATCAGTTCATAAATGTGAGAAGGATGAACTAATAGCATTTATTGTGTGCCAGGCACTGTATTAGCATTTCATTTGTATTACATAGGTGTTAACCCTGCTTAATAAATTATTGTGGATCATTCTGTTTGGCATTTACAATTTGCTTTAGGTATCTTCTTACAAAGTTGTAGTTTGGGGAAGAATACAAAAGAAGAACAAAGATTTAAACCATTCTTTTTTTTTTAGATTGATCTGTGTATTCTGCCATTGTGTTTGAAACTTTTTGTTAGATTAAGTCCTGTTTCAACAAACCTTTATTGAACATCTGTTTTATAGTCAAGACAAAGATGTATATAATTATTACCTGCAAAAAATTTGTAATCTGTTGGTAAACTATGATTTATATGTAAGCTACTTTGCTATATTGGGTGTCATAGGTGCTATAAGAGAGTTATAAACTGAGTAGGAATTCACAGCCTTAGGTTGTGAAAAGCAGAGTCTCAGCTATGAAATTATTCTTATCAAAGCTGCAGCTCAAAGAAGTGCACTGACAGCTGGTTCTTGAATGCAGGTCTCTTGATTCTTAAGGCCCCTTTCTTTTCACAGTGTTACCATGCATAGACAAAATTAAGAACGATGTCTGCAAGGGATAGTTGATGGAAGAGAGGAGGAGAAAGGAAAGAATATGCTGTCATCTTTTTCAGACCTTTTAAATATAGTTATTCCAAGAATTAATAGGCTTGCAATTTTATTTTTAAATTATAAAAGTTTTAAACCTGAAGAAAAGTAGAAACTATTGATATACCCACCTAACAGATTTGCCAGGTTGGTTATAGAGCCTTTGACTACGAAGAAATAGTGACCCCAAGTGGTGTAAAGGACAGTGTACATCTTCATTGAAGAATTACAAATTACGGTATTTGGAGGGAGGTATAAACAAGCATGGGATCCTTTTCTGTTAGAGAAATACAAATAAATTAATTGAATTAACATGAACTATTTCTGTTGAAATAGCAAAAATGCATTTTAAAAAATGTTAGCAAGGAAAGTGGCAAACAGGCACTCTTTAAACACTGCTGGAGGCTAGGAGGCCAACCCAGCTCTATGCACAAACATTACACAATATGCTTTGGTTTAGTAATTCCACTCCTGGAAGTGTAACCTGAGGAAATAATTCAGGGGGGAAAGGTATGGCTACAATTTTTTTTTTTATAATAGGAGAATAAGTACAGATATGCTTGTTAGATCAGTTTATTATTTTAAACTCTTAGGAGACAATTCAGACAAAAAAATGCAATGGAAATCATTTTAAAAACCAACACATTATTATATAGAAAGGAGATTATTATGTATTAAGCACTGATTTTATATGTTACATATTGAACTAAATACTTTATACATGTCTGATTTACTCTTTATCACCCTGTGAAGGATTATTCTTTATTGTTTAGATAAATAATGTTGTAGCTCAACAATGTTGGGTAATTTGTTGGTGTTGGAGGTAGATTTTGAATCCAGGAATGTCAGTGTCTTGATCAACCATGTCTTATGCTTTCCACTGTTAGCATACTTAACATAAATTCTGTGTGCATACTGAGATGTAAGTTGGGAAAGTCCATAGAGAGAAAGAGAGCATGTGTGCATGCAGTATTTGGTTGTTTGGTTGATGCTATAGGTGAGTGGTAGTTACCATTTTTGAACGGTAATATTAAGTGACAAGAGATGGCTAAATGTGACTGCGTGTTAGAAGGGAGAATAGTTGAAAGACAGATGTGTAGCCAGGGGTGATGGGGTGGGGATACAGGAAGCCAGAGCCAAGGTGGTTAATAGTTAAAACCCCCAAGCTCAGATTAAGTGGACGTGAAGAGGAGATTGAAAGTGAGGGAGATTATGAATAGGCTGTGGAAGTCTTGCTAGAGATCAGGGAGAAAGAATAGCCCAAAGCTGTGGACTTCAGGTAGCTTGGCAATTGACCAAGTTCTGGAAAAGGGCACTTTTAGGTATAGTTCTTTAAATGTGGGTAAACGGAAAAATCCCTGTTGGATTTTAGCAATTTGGCTGATCTAGCTAGATTTTTATTAATATTAGAAATCTGTCTTCTTTTAGTCATTTCTTATTTTACTACTTTATTTGTTCATTGTCTTTTTAGTTCCCCCTCAAAAGTAGTTTTTATGGGGAAAAAAAATTAAAGCCTCCAGAGCCTTCCTCAGAGGACATGGAGTTTCTTCTATTCTATATTTTAGGACGGATAGTGAGATGAATGTAGACTAGAAATTAGTGCCTGTTAAGCAGGGTATGTAAAGATGTGAAAATGAGTAACCAGGAAAGTAGAGGGGGGAGGGCGGGAGAAGTATGTGTTAAATTTCTCTGTGCCTCAAGTGTTTTCTAATGGAGGAAATACATTTGGATATAAATGAACCTGTTAGAGTTACTAGATTTATCCATAGATGGTCACTCTGTGCTGTAACTGCTTTTTCTTTAGATTGAAGAATGTGTGGTTTGCTCTGACAAGAAAGCGGCTGTTCTTTTTCAACCCTGCGGCCACATGTGTGCTTGTGAGAGTAAGTAGCCAATGCAGAGTTCCTCAGTATTATTATAAAAATAGAAAATGAAACAAAAATTATGTTTGTGAGGGGTTTTTGCTTTTGATTTTGGATAAGTCACAAAAAAGTTGATGGGCCTTGAGTACCTTCTATTTCTTTCTCTGTACTAGAATGTCAGCTGTTTCTTTCCATGTGTCTGAGCATTAGGGAAGACTGAATAAGCTGTGTTTTACCACCTTGGATTTTGATTTCAGTTGTATTGCACAAAAGAGTCTTTTTCCACACTTACATAAATTTATTTTGAAAAATGAATATCAAAACACTTAATCTAGTCTTCGTTCACATATAAATTAGCACATCTTCATTTGTCTTCACCTTAATACTGCCTCTCCTGCATGCTTTCCTCACTGCAGAAGAACCAACAGCAATCATTTCTGGTGCTGTAATTTCTGGCCTTCTGTAAGATTTTATGTCAAGAGAGCTTTTAGAAATCTTTTCTTTGTGAGGGCAGCATTAAAATGTAAAAGATGTTTTAAAGATTCTTTTAAACATATTCTCTTGAAGGCCTTTGCTTTTTATATCGTCCTTGTTCTTTTCCAGTTCATACACTATTAAATATTCTCCTCTTCCCTTTGCTTTTCTTCATTTTGTCAATGAAGGATTTTTTTTTTTCTTTTCAGAGTCTGGCTCTGTCACCCAGGCTGGAGTGTAGTGGCACAGTCGGCTCACTGCAACCTCCATCTCCCTGATTCAAGTGATCCTTGTGTCTGAGCCTCCCGAGTAGCTGAGATTACAGGTGTTTGCCACCACGCCCAGCTAATTTTTGTATTTTTAGTAGAGACAGCGTTTCGCAGTGTTGGCCAGGATGGTCTGAAACTTCTGGCCTCAAGTGATCCGCTTGCCTAAGGCCTCCCAAAGTGCTGGGATTACAGATATGAGCCACTGTGCCTGGCCTGCTTTGATGTTTTTTAAAATTACAATAGGGGCTGAGTGCAGTGGCTCATGCCTGTAATCCCAATACTTTGGAGGCTCACGTGGGTGGATCACTTGAGGTCCGGAGTTCGAGACCAGCCTGACAAACGTGGTGAAACCCTGTCTCTACTAAAAATACAAAATATAGCCAGGCATGGTGGCGCATGCCTATAATCCCAGCCAGCCGGGAGGCTGAGGCAGGAGAATCGCTTGAACCTGTGAGGAGGAGGCTTTCAGTGAGCTGAGATCACGCCACTGCACTCCAGTCTGGGTGACAGAATGAGCCTCCATTTCAAAAAAAAAAAAAAAAAATTCCGATAGGCAACTGGTTAACTAAAGAAGGGGGTAAAGGTTTTCTTCTGTAACATTTTGCCTAAAGTGACTGTTTTTATTGCCAAAGAGTGGTCTAATGGTGATTACCCACTACTATAAAAAGGGCACATAGAGAATTCTCTGTCTTAAGTAAAAAGGACTCAGGTTACTTAAGTTTTCTTAGGTCAGAGGTTGGCAGACTTTTTTTGTAAAGGGTGAAATAGTAAATATTTTTGGCTTTATAGGCCATATGGTTTCAGTAGTAACCAATCAACTCTTTCCCACTGCTCTACTCTGTACTGTAGTGCAAAAACAACTATGGAGAATTTGTAAATAATGGGCCTAATTGTGTTCAATAAAACTGGTTTTATAAAAACAGATGACAGGTCAGATTTGGCCCTCAGGTATAATTTGCTGACTTCTATCATTCACCAAAGTGATACCTACATGAAAGTTGAAAAATGATTATAATTATCAATTGATAACACAGATCCTAAGCCTTAATATAATATTTTCCCCAGGAGCTTTCAGAATTTTTTTACATGGCCTTTGTTCCTTTTTTTTTTTTTTTAATTCAAAAAGCTTCAGTTTTAAATTTAGCTTTCTGACTCTGTGCATGTGCCTTCAGCATTTTCACGACGATATTCTGCTTTGAAAGGAGAGCATGCTTTATCCTGTCATGGATACATTTAGCAGTCATGGAAACACCATAGGCCATGCTGATGCTTTTTTTTTAGTTTTAGACAACCTCACAAGAACTTTAGGTCTCACAGCATGAATCCCTTGAAGTCTGCCTGGGTACATGCCACGTGCAGATATTGGTGCTTTCCCTACCTTCTTGATATACAATATTAAGGTAAACAATACCAGGGTTTGGGACAGCCTAGTTTTGTCAGACGCTGTGTTGTAGGAAAGCCTGTGATGGTGCGTCAAACATTGGACCATGCTGAGTGCCTCTAGATAGCATCCCTTGAAGAGAAAAAACAGTCTTTGCTTTAAAATGTCTTTAATAACAAGAGCAACGAGCAACTTTTATTGAGCTCTTAACTCTGTACCAGGAATTTTAATCTCCTTTTGAGTGTTTCCTCACTTATTTTTAGAACAATCGTAAGAAGTAGATGATTTTCTCGATTTTATAGACATGCTCTTAAACATTTATTTGCTAAGGGAGATGAAACTGAGGTGGAATATATTCCTTTCCCAAGGAGTATACCTAGTTAGTCCGGTGTCTCCATCACAGTCATTTTAGGCAGTGAAAGTGCCTTGGCAGGCCAAAGGAAGTAGAGATTACATCCCTTTTGGAGGTGCCGAAAAAAGATTAGTTAGAAACAATATAAATAGAGAATACAGAAGCAAAGATAGAAACAATATAATAACTGAACTTAACAGTTAATTTTAGATAATTGTGTTTATATATTATGTATTTAGGTAATTAGTCCTTTACATTTAAGAAAAAATGCTGCCTTCAAATTGAAGACAAATCCCAAACCAGATTTCCACTTAGCGTTAGCTCCTACCTAGTGCATCTTGTATAACCAAGCGTCAGACCCATTTATTTATGTTTAGGCTTTGGCATGAGGTCAGCCTTGGTAACTAACTGTTCTCCATTAAGCTGTGGGCATAGTAAACTATTAGGAGTGTAGGCCCTATTCTGTCCACATCAGTGGTTTGTGCTTTGTTCAGATCTAGTGGTTTGCCATAACCTGGATATTCTGCCATGATTTCCATTATTTTTCCTATTTTTGAAATGAACAAGACACTTGATATGTAGGCTAAAATATAGAATATATATATATATATATATATATATATATATTTTTTTTTTTTTTTTTTGGAGATGGAGTCTCGCTCTGTTGCCCAGGCTAGAGGGCAGTAGTGCGGTATCAGCTCACTGCAACCTCTACCTTTCAGGTTCATGCTGTTATTCTACTGTCTCAGCCACCCGAGTAGCTGGGACTATAGTTGTATGCCACTATGCCCGGCAGATTTTTTGTATTTTTAGTAGAGATGGGGTTTCATCATGTTAGCCAGAATGGTCTTGATCTCCTGACCTCGTGATCCACCTGCTTTGGCCTCCCAAAGTACTGGGATTACAAGTGTGAGCCACCATATCCAACCTGGAATATATTTTCATAATAAATACTAATGAGAAAGAATATGTTGATTTGCTTTGTGTTATTTTACAATTAATTAACAAGTTTAGATGTAAGGTCATATTAACCTACAACATACAGTTGTGCCTAGATATTTCTTCTTGGAATGGGAACTCATTCTTCTGAAATATTGTTTGTAGCGTTTGCAAATCAAATATTAGTTTATTATGAAAATTAAAATTTTTTTCCTGAACTGCTATATTAAGAAAATATTCACTAAGCAATTTCCTTGTTACATTGCATCAATTTGATAAAGAGAAGGAAAGAATTATTTAATGTATTTTAGGAATTTTAGAGAAAAGCCATTTACAATAGAAAATATTTTTAGAAAATTATCATGTCAGGGGGTGGCAGGCAAGGGGAGAGAGAGCATTAGGTCAAATAACTAATGCATGCAGGGTTTAAAACCTAGATGACGGGTTGATAGGTACAGCAGACCACCATGGCACACGTATACCTGTGTAACAAACCTGCACGTTTTGCACATGTATCCCAGAGCTTAAAGTAAAATAAAAATAAATAAATAAATGAATAAATAAAAAGAAAATTATTGTGTTAGCAAGCTTATAATTCTAGTATTAGTTGACATTTTT